GGTCTTTTGTTTTTCCATATAAAGTTGAGAATTGTTCTTTCAAGTTCGGTGAAGAATTGTACTGGGATTTTGATGGGGATTGCATTGAATCTGTAGATTGCTTTTGGCAAGATTGCCATTTTTACTATGTTGATCCTACCTATCCAAGAACATGGGAGATCCTTCCATTTTCTAGTATCTTCTTTAATTTCTTTCTTTAGAGACTCAAAATTCCTACGGTACAGGTCTTTAAAAAATAGGGAACACTTCACGAATTTTTGTGTCATCCTTGTGCAGGGGCCATGCTAATCTTGTCTGTATTGTTCCAATTTTAGTATATGTCCCACACAATGATCATCACATTAATCAATATATCTATTACCACCCCTGTTTTAAATTTTATCACCAGAACCTATTCACAGTGACCAGAAACCTTCTGTGCCCTTTGGTGGGTGTTTTCCAATTATCCTCACTCTACAGCTCTGGCAACCACTATTATACTCTATAGAGAATTACCTCTTCAAATTCCACATGTGAACAGCCTTGTACAGTTTTGCCTTTGCTCTGACTTCTTCATTAACATTATGTTCCCTAGTTTCCTGAATGTGCTTCTCTGTGATAGAATGGTAACCCGCTGCACACACACTATCAGTACATGGTCAGTGCATTCTTGGCTTCTCTTCCTACATTGGTTGCTGTGAATGTGCAGTGGTGATCATGATTGCCGGTATTTTTTTGACATGATTACATTTCTTTTAGTTACTCCTCAGCAGTGGAATCGCTGTGCCATATGTTAGTCCTAACTTTACACTTTACTTGTTTTTTGTTTTTTGAGAAACATCTGAGTAGTTTTGCATAGGTGCTGAACGAGCTAGGATCCATACCAATGCTATGCAAGGGAACCCTTTTCCTTCTCCTCTATTTGTAGGTGTGTCATCTTCTTTGGTGGGGTGGGGCTATTTTAATCAGTGAAGTGATGTAACACTTTGTCTTAATTTGCATATCGCTCTTTATCAGTAATTTTGAAGAATTCTTTTTATGCATATATTGATCATTTGTATGTATATCTTATTTGGGGAAAAAAGGCTATTCCACTCCTTTGCTCCTTTTGATTTTGAAACATTCTTATTTACTTATTTACTGGCAGCAATTACATAACTTTTAGGAGTAAAGTGTCATGCATGATTCAGTATATTTTATACATTATCATATTCAGTATATCTGTACCATTATCAATTCAAGATGTTTATGTTATTTGACATCTCCAATATCTATCTTTTATTTGTGTTGAGAACATTAGAAATCCTCTTATCAAGCTTTGTTGAATTCTATCATCATTGTACTACTATAAATTATCTGGCTGTGATTTGCATCAAGTAACCTATTTCTTCTCACCCGCCTCTACATTTCTTGTTCTCTCATAACAGCTGTGGAGCATTTATCTAATTATTCTTTATCAATAAAACACTCAGGAGTCAGATATTGGGGTGAGAACTGATTGATTAAGAAATGACAGAGAAGCAACCAGTGACCTCCTCTCTCTCCTCCCTGGATCCAAAGGAGGGCCAAGACTCTTTCTAAAACCTTCCCTACTACTTCCTTTATCTCTCTATATGTCCTCAGTCCTCCAAAATCTCTATTGCTAATTTGGGTCAGTTAGTAGCTAGCTCTGCCCTCTGATTCAAGGTAAATTTTACTGACAGTCTTAGGAGTGTCAGAGTGTAATCAAAATATCCCACATATCTCCCTTTTTGTCTAAATAAAAAGGAAGGTTTTTAACTCTAACAGTAAACTATATGCAATAAGAACAATTACCAGAAAGTCCAGTCCATTTGCATTTGGCAAGTTCAGAGAAAATACTCCATTATCTATCCTATCTTGGTGAGTCCAAAGTTTTGTGTTTAATTCACTTTGTATCCTAACTTGTATTACCAACCCAAAACACTATTTTTAGACTTCTAAACATTATTGTAGATAAACAATTTATGCTTTTATATCTCTCAATCTTATACACTTTACACTACTTTTGTGAGTTTCTTTTCTGAATTTAGTAACAAGAAAAACTGTAACTATAACTATCTAGTCTTCAAACCATCAAAGACTGAAGAAGGATATAATATTATCTGAGTAAACAGGAAGTATAGAGCAAAAAAAAAATTCCAGAACTATAGAAATGAGAGACACCTGGCTTCCTGGACAGTCACCCAGGTTTTCCCTGTAACATTGGGGTATCCATCTTTGGCCTAAGGTATAGAACATCTGACAGACTTTTTTTGTTAAGGGGGGATTTCAAAGGACTGTCCCACCTTGTCTTAGCAAAGTTGAACAGTCACTTGCTTTTGTGTCCTGCTTGTTCAATTTGGGCAGTATACTGTCAGCAGTTGAGACACAGACAGCTTCTTGAACAGATGGCTGGCTTTGCCACAATGAAAACAACTCCATATGGAGGCCATTCAATGCCCATCATCCTTTTTTTGAAGTAAATTGCTGCTGCCAGGGACAAGCATATCTCATTGTCATGAGAAGCCTTATGTTGTTAAAATATTTTAAATGCCATATTCTGTAGGTCCCTGAAGTGTTTAAAGAACATCTGTCTATCTAAAATGTATCTCTATTTGGCCTTGAAAACATAACTAACATTGCCACAAATTTGATTGTTAGATGACTAACTACTAACCTGTATTTTTTAATTATCCTAAGTAGTTTATAATAATACCGTTCAATGGCTAGAAATTTACACTGCATTGTTACATGAGCTGCAAAAGTACTATAACTTAAAAAAGAGTAGAAACATATATGCAGTATAACAAAAATAGCCTTAAATTTGTGTCAATATACAAAAATACCTTAAAAGTAGAAACACATATACAGTGTAACAAAAATAACCTTAAATTTGTGAATTAAAAAATTCCCAAAGAAAACTTTAGGGAAATCAGAAACATCATCAGGCTTTATGTCAAGCATTGCTGAGTGGGCTTCTTAGTGCTACAGGACTTAGAAAAATGCTGTTGAAAACATTGCAATGGTATTTAATGGGCTGTTTAGTGAAATAAGGCAAGAAATCCAGACATTATAAAGCAAATTTTAACAATGGTCTTACAGCAAATTATCTTGGTCAGATTATCTCAGTCAGAACACAGACCTGTGTCAGTTGGTTGGGCTGATATGTGGTAGTTTGACAGTGCCAAACAGTTGGGCTAGGATGTGATTTGACAGTGCCCAGCATTTAGTGCACTCACACGTTGAAGTTCTTATATGTACATTAATTTATCTTTTGGAGTCCATAAAATTGTCCGTGGTTGGAATTATTTGTTCTTATTATTGTTGTTGATTATTTAAGAAATTGAGGTTTAATTACATAAAAAATGTGTGTCAATATACAAAATATTTTACTAATGTAAAATATTTAAGACTAGCAATTGCATTTTTAGTTTAAAAGTAGGTTCAATAATCTACCCTTTTATCCTAACATGCCTATTTTATCCCCCTTTTTCTTTTTAGAATGAGAGCCCTAACTCTAATCTTCTTTGCTTAGTTTCTTCCATGACTATGACCAGTAACAATTTTCAACCAACTCCCCCTAAATGATGATAAACATCTATAATCCACAAGTGACTAAAGACTACCCACCCCACCTTTTGGGAAAGTGGGTGTTGTGTTCCTAAAATTACTTCCTGTAGTCTTTGGGTGGTGGCATCTTCAGGGGACCCTGAGAAAATAGAAATAATGGTCAAATCCTGAGAAAATTAGCTGTAACATTTGTTATGCAGTCACTGTGGAATGAGAAAGTGTAGAGCTTATCTGAAGTCCTGGCTAGAGTATTCTGTGAGGCTGGACCCTTTCAGCTAGCAGATTTGAAGTTGTCCTGAGCAGTTTGCAGCTGAAATTGACATTTTGGTGGTGTTTGTCAGCTTAGTGTCTCATTACCACAATCCAGGTGGGCTTGTCTTTGTGGGGATCCATCATCCTTTTGGAGAGGTAAAAGGTTTCTGTTAGGGATGATCATGGTTTACTGAGGAAAACTTAAACATTTTAAATGCCATATGCAGCAGATCTAAGAGAGGTTAAAGGACCACAACTTGTTAATTATATCTGGGGTACACAAGCTTAATTTTTAGTTACTTGCTTCAGACTCAAGCATGAAATCATATACAGGAAGCTAGATGAAGCCTATTATAATATTTATACCTTAAGAAAAGTTTTAAAGAGTCAAAATAAAACCAAGGATTATGAGATTAGTGGCAGCAGAATAGTCCCTTCATTTTGGTTTTTTCTTCTGTCCCGTACCAGGTGGCTCTTCTTACACGAGACAGACATTTTGGATTTTCCTTTAACAAGCATGCTTGGGTTGAGAGAAAGAGAGATCCATGCTCCAATTCTAAAGCCAGCTTTAATTTTCAATTGAATTGCGACAACAGAAAGACCTGTATGTCTGTAGAGAACAGAGGAAACTAAGATTTGGAAAGATTTATGCAATTTTTCCTGTTGGAAAGGTGCTATACCATTAGCCTAATTTACTCTTTTTCTTGGGACATTTTCTCTGAATGATTCATCCTTTTTCTTCAGATGTCACATTTGTCCAGGAAGGAATAGTTGATAGACTTCATCATTACCTTATGCTAGTGGGTCTGGTAAACCCATGTGGAATCTGATATGTGTTATATACAAGGGATGATTTCTATTTCTGATTATTTCTTATTATTGAATAAATAACAGAGTTAATTCTGAATTGTCTGGAATAAGTTCAGTGTTTCAATATGTAAAACAACTCTTTCTGCATATTGAGTATTAGTAATTATATTAAGAGGTTCTGAAAAATATGATAATACCATGAGACTAACATATAATTCTGGCTTTTGAATGGAGTCATAAGAGCTTTGAGCCACTTTATTTAAATTTCCTGACTTATAGCACATCTTTCCTGATTTATTTGCATCAATATAGAATGAGGGTCTCTAGACATTGGTGTTCCCCATACAATGTGAGGAAGAATCCAATTAGTTCTCTTTATAAATCATAGTCTCTTGCTTTTTGGGATATCTGTTGCTAATCTCTCCTAAAAAATTACTGCAAGCCCTTTGCCAGTTTTCATCTTCTGTCCATAACAAGGCAATTTCAGCATTAGTGAAAGGCACCACGACATCTACTAGGTCTATTCCTGCTAATTGACAAAATCATAATTTTCCTTTCAGAGTCAATTCATAAACCTTTTCTACACAGGTCTTTAATTATTTTTTTTTACTCCGTGTGGCAAAGATATCCATTCAAAAATATTACCTTCTTTGTACTGGTATCTTGTTTATAATCTAACAAATAAAGCTTGCCTGAAGATCAGAGGGCAGAACTAGCCACTAGTTAACCATAGGGGTCTTGAGGTCTGTGCAGACAAACAGGAAGTGATATGGCTGGGCAGAGAGAGGAGGTGACAATGTTGGAGGAGACAGAAGCCTGGTCTCTTTTTGGCTAGGAAGTTAACAAAGTAAGTGTGGCTGTGGCTTTCTCCTTCATCTCTCTGATCTTTCAGCATTCCCCCCTTTTATCTGACCCTGGGCTTTTATTACTAAGATCTATTAGAACCCATGCTACACTTCTCTCTGTATAAGAATTTCTGTGGGAGAATTCATGGAAGGTAAAATAACCAGAATACAGTCAAGCTCTGGATCTAAATGACCCATATGTGCATCCTGCAATTTCTTTTCAACCAAAGCCAATTTTTTCTCAGCCTCAACTGATAATTTGCTTGGACTATTTAAGTACTTATCACCTTGTAAGATTGGAAATAAATTATTTAATTATTGAGTTGTCAATCCAATTGTGGGCTGTAGTCAGCGAATATCTCCCAGCAACTTTTGAAAATCATTATTAGTCCATAACTGATCTGTCCTTATTTTTACTTTCTGTGATTGAATTTTTATAAATCTATCTTAAATCATAGGTAATTAACAGAATCTCCTGTTTGTATTTTTTTCAGGAGCAATTTGTAATCCCCAACAAGGCACATTTTTCTTTACCTTTCAAACATTTTTCCATAAGGTTTCTGAGTCTGAATAAGCTAGTAAGATATCATCTACATAATGTTAAATTATAGATTGAGGTAACTGCTTATGGATTATTTCCAATGGCTATTGTGCAAAATATTGACACAAGATGAGACTGTATCCTTTGTGGAACAATTTTTCACTGATACCTTTTAGCAGGCTGGAAATTAATATAAGTAGGCATTGTGAAGGAAAAATTTTCTCTGTCCTGTTCTTGTAAAGATACAGACAAAAATCAATATTTAAATCAATTAGTATAATAGACCATCCTTTAGGTAGTAAAGAATTCAAGGGAATTCCAGGCTATGCAGAGCCCATTGGCTGGACCACCTTATTAATAGCTCCTAAATCTTAATATTCTCCATTTTCAGAATTCTTTTTAATGACAAATGTAGGACAATTCCAAGAACTCGTCAATTCTTCAATAGGTTGAGCATTTAGTTGGTCCGGTACCAACTGTTCTAATGCCTGTAATTTTTCTGATGTCAAAGGTCATTGTTCCACCCAGAAAGGTTTGTCAGTTTGGTATTTAACCATTTTAAGGTAGAGTTGTTGATGCCCTGCTTTTGTACAACCTGAATGTTTGGTGAATGTTAATCTGTGTTTTCCATTGCTACAACAAATCATGTCCCCATAAATTCAGTGCTATGTTAGCCACATATGGTTTTAATTTTCTTATCTGTCCTTCTCTTCCTATAAACTCAACTCATCTTGCACTTTGCTTTACCTGAGATGAAGCTCCAATCCCTAGAAGCTGAACATTTACCTCCTGAAGAGGTCAATCTGGATGCCAAGATTTTGGTGAAATTGTTGTTACATCTGTTCCTGGTCTACTGAAGCCTTAATTTCAATGCCATTTACTTGTATTATTAGCTTTGGTCCTTCATTATTTATAGAAGTTTTCCAAAATAATTATTTTATGGTCTCTCCTGAAAATTTTGCTTTACCTACTGAAGCTATTCTGTCATTCGGAGCATTATGCTTTTAAACAATAGGCATTAAGTCTTTTAATTGTTCTGTGGAGGAGTTCCTCTGATGCTGACAGGGAATGATTGAACCAAATTTGACAATGGGTCCCCTAAGTTGTTTCATTATGGCAAAGGGTTACCTTCTCCACTGTCTCATGTTGATCTGCATTCATTGAGTCAGTGTCAATATTTGCCACACTTTGCATATTCCAGAAGTCTGGGGCCTTCTGTTTGGATTATCTCTAGGAAAAAAAAATCATTGTTTCTAGGAATGCTTTGCCTACAATTCCTTTTCAGATGCCCTTGTTTACCACGATTAAAACATCTGATCTTTGGTTTGTCTTAAAATTTTAGAAATCACTGCTTCTATCCAAGCATCATCCTAAGTCTGAGGTTCCATATCAGCTGTATTTCTAATCCATTGGCTGAATTGGCCTTTAAGGGCCTAAAGCATCATCCTAAGTCTGAGGTTCCATATCAGCTGTATTTCTAATCCATTCATCTATTGGTGCTGAATTGGCCTTTAAGGGCCTAGTCACCCTTTTGTATTCTGAATTAGCAATTTCAAAAGCCAAAGATTCAGTTAATATTTGTTTAACTTCTGGATCTGATATCATTCTATTCACAGCTAAAGTCAATCTTTTTTAAAAAAAACATCAGTGAAGGCTTCTTTTGGGTCTTGTACAATTTTAGTAAATTGCTCAGTCCTCTTTCCTGATTCTTCAACCCTGTCCCAGGCATCCCAAGGTGCTATAGAGCATAGGGCCAAGATGTAATCACCAAATCTAAACTGTCCTTGAAAATCAGCAATTTGGCCCTCAACAAGAAGCTGATCTTGGGAAATTTCTGTACCTCTTTTCCCACCTTGTTGTTCATGACCCTAGTTTCCTCTCTCTATAACGTTTTCCATTATAACTGAGGACCAGCTTCCAATATTGCTGTAGCTAAATCTTTCCAGTCTTGTTGAATAATTCTGTTCTGAGTTGACCATGAATTTAACACCTGCTTCTCAAAAAAAGTGAATGCATACTATATGAAACTAGTGCTTCCTTAAATCTTTTCAAACCTAACATTTATGCAGGATCCCAGTTAACTTCTAAATGATCTTGGGGGTGCATATCATCTAGTGATCATTCTTGAATGGCAACTGGATAAATTAAGATTCAGTGTCTAATAATCTTGGGCCTCTCCTCTTCAGTTTCATAATGCAATGATGCAGTGGGTTCTGCTTTAAACTCCTTTGTCTGTGTTTGGATTTTTTCTCAGTTTCATTATAGGTCTTTCTAAGGATTGTATCTTATTCAACCTCTTTTAAAAGAATAAAACATGAATTACCAAACTGATAGTGCTTATAATTGACATTACATCAATCCCAACTAATTTGCTTATCCTTTCATTTAATTTTTCCATTTTCAAGCCATCCATTGTGGAACTCTACAGAGATCTTTCTCCCTGCACCATAATATTATTCCCCATTCTTAATGTGGGTAAAAAAACTCTTTGGAAAAACAACCAATCTGCCTTTAAGAACTTGGGGAAGTGCAAGGGTAGCTGTCACTGTGCTGCACTGCTGGGAAGAAGATGCAGGAAGAGCCTTGCAGGGGGCAGCTGCAGCTGCTCTTGTATAGCTGGGGGCTCAGAATGTGTGGCAATGGCAGCAGCAGAAAAAGCTGGAGCAGGTGTCAAGGCAGCCGGCCTGGCATGGCAGTGGTCCAAGGAAGAGGAGGTCCAGGGGAAGCCTGCAATTCACAGGGAGAGGGAGCAAGGCACCTGAAAAGTGGACACAGGGGGGCCTGTGGAAGAAGCTGATGTGGCTTGTGGCCCCCTGAATGACAGAGCTGGTCGAGGGTGGGTGGATAACTTGGGTGGTGGTTCGTATCAAGGTCTTTTGGATAACAGCCTCTCAGACCTCTCAAGGTTTAGCTAGAAAGCTTAAAGCAAGCATGACACTTAGAAAGATCTGAGGGCAAAATGAATTCTCCACTGTGTACTTTTCTGCACCAGTTTCTTCATTGTTCTGTTCTTTACTCTAACAATCCTGTCTGCTTCTAATTCCTTCTAGCTTCTTTCTCCAGCTTCTTCTTCTTCTATTCTAAAAACTCTTCTACAGAAGCCTTGATGTGATAAGGAAATTACAAGAGCTACCTTCTCATTGGTCAAGAGCATATTCCTAGGATAAGCAATTAGGGAGCTGAGCCATTGCCATGGCAACATAAGGTCTCAGGGCCATAGGAACAAAGCCTTGACCAGACTGGGGGGCACAATGCCCAATGACAACTTTGAGACTCGGATCCACTTTTAGTAGACTGGCAAGTGAAGAATTGGCATGCTTTTCTTAATAACATTGGTTGGACATCTGTGACTCTGACCTTGTACTTATCTGTAATGTCTCAAATTTATGATCTATTTACAAAAGGCCTTCAGTCTAGCTTGAACTTGCTCTGAAGTCAAAGTGAGCTAATTGTGTGCAGTTAGTCTGAGCAAAAGAACAAGGCAGGCTGTTAAGAATCTACAGTCCTTGTGGGACAAATAGATCCAGTTATGAAGCATGTCCCAGTATATAGTCAATATATCAAAATTATATAGTTAAATAAAAATTCATCTTCTACACCACCCACAGATAATGTACCCAGTAGATGGAATATTTTCATGAGATAAACACACGAGCAGTGGGAAAACACCCAAAGCTATTCTTAGGGAAAAAATGAAGTGACTCATGAGAGAAATTACAAACAGGAGCAACTGACTTCCACAGTCAGTGACTCCATAGCCTTTCCAGGTGGGGTTCCCTATCAGAGAATCACTCATCTTGTAGTTCTGTCTGTTGATCACCAGTTATCACCTGCTGTATCTCTCATGGCCCCTGCAGTGTTTGGTGCTAGGGATGAGCAATAGCTGGAAGCTGCTATAGGGAAGCTGTAATGCAAAAACACCAGACTTGCACAGAGGGCCTGGGGGGGGGGGGGGGGAGGCCAGTCATGGTGGCAACTCTGGAAACTGCAAAGTAGGCAGCAAGTGGCTGCCTTGTGATCTTGTGCCTCTCATTGGATGCCAGATGAAGCATGTATATAAGTATTCTTTATCAATAAAAAACTGGGAATCAGATATTTGGGTAAGAAGGTAAGAACCTGATTGATAAGAGAAACTGTGGGGAAGCCACCGGTGACTTCTCTCTATATCCTTCCTGGATCCAAAAAGGGCTAGAATCTTTCTAAAATCCTCCCTACTACTTTGTGTGTCTCTCTATATGCTTCCAGTCCTCCAAAACCTCTATGGCCAATTTTGGTCAGTTAATAGCTAACTCTGACCTCTGATTCAAGGTAAACTTTATTGACAGTCTTGGGAGTGTCCAAGTATGATCAAAATATCCCACAACACAGTTTTTTGTTCTGATTTTTTTTTCCTGAGACAAGGTTTCTCTGTATATCCCTGGATGTCCTGGAACTCACTCTGTAGACCAGGCTGGCCTTGAACTCAGAAATCCCTCCACCTGCCTCTGCCTCTGCATCCCAAGTACTAGGATTAAATGCATATGCCACCATGGCTAGCAAAGGCATTTATAGTTAACAATATTTGGGATTCATTTCTTTTTCTCCCTCACCACCTGGCTCAGCTATTTTGATTTCTATATCTTGATTTCAGCTACTTTAAATTCTACAAGTTAGTGAAACTAACAGGCATTTGTCTTTCAGTCCTCCTTTGCCCATTTGTAAATTAAATTATCTATTTTTTGCTATTAACTTGCAGAAGTTCCATATATATATATATACACGTATATATACATATTGAATATTAACTTCTTATCACATCAATGACTAACAAATGTTCTCCTCCCATTCGACACTTGTCTTTCCATTTTGTTAACATTTCCTTTCTTTTGCAGAAGCTTTGCAGTTTGACACAGTCCAATTTTGTTTTTGCTTTTGTTGCCTGGATCTCAGGTGTTCTAGATAAAACCCATCACCAAGTCCAAGTTCAAGGGGCTTAGTCCTACCTTATTCTAAGGGTTTTATGGACTTATACTCACCTGATTGTCTTTAATCTATTTGGAGCTATCCTTATAGAAGATAAGGCTCCATTTTCCATTACATTTTTCATGGTGCCACTTATTGAAGAAACATTTCTCTCCTTGTATAAGCACACTGCCCTGTCTACATTAATTGACCACGTGGATTTCCTTGAGTAAATATTTCTTCGTTTCTGTATGGCCTTCAGCCATGTACAGAGACGTTAAATAATTAGCGGGTTGTTTTTATTTAATGATGTCACCCGTTAAAGTCACATTCTACACACTCCATCCTGGAAGTCGCATCTCCGCAATTATCTTTAGATGAGACTTAACTGATTAGGGGAAAGGAGACAAATTAATGTAAATTCAAAGAGAACAAACCTGGAGTGTAACTAATTTGGATATTAGTGGTAATTAGTATCTACGGATAGATTTATTTGTAGCTCATTAACTGAAAACTTGCTTCATTTGTGCTGTGACTCATTAATTAGAAAGGTGGGTGGTGTGATGAGGCTCTAATGTGATTTGACTTCTTAAATAAATTCCAAGGTTTGGGTATCAAATTGCAGAGGAGCATTAAATAGAAAGTGAAGGGACTGAAGAGTCAGTCCTTGTATGCTTTTTCTATGATGTGCATACTTTGGAATGATCTTAAGGGTCAATGTGCTTCGAACTCAGGAACTAGACAGGTCTTAATAAATCTACTTTGTATCCTATCTTATGTCTGCAAAACTTGCACAGAAAGAGGTGGTTTTCTTCCATAGATAACACAGCATCTGCTTTAATTAGCTAAGGAATATTTATAGGGCACCCCTGCCTAGAAATTCTCGGTATTAGAAAATACAGATGACTCAACAAGATACCTGTTTTCAAGAAACTCATCCCACCATTACTAATATGTTCTATAGATGCATGAGGGTGTGATTCTGAGACAGCATAGCCTAATGACAGATGAGTGGTCCAGCAGGATTCAGGGGAAAACTGGGTCTTGTAGTTTTTCAGTTCAAACTCTCACATAAAGAGTAGCACCCCATTCCCTATAGCCAGGCATCAGTTAAGAGGCTTGTCTCTACTCTATGCATTTTTCAGTTCAAACTCTCACATAAAGAGTAGCACCCCATTCCCTATAGCTCATGGATCATCCCTTCAGCCAGGCATCAGTTAAGAGGCTTGTCTCTACTCTATGCGGTGTTAGCTGGCGTGTGCCAAAATGTGATAATTACCTGATATCTGAAGAGTTCTCTTCCAACACTCCTTGTGACTATTTAGAATTACTGAAATAAATGTTGACATCTCCTTGGATATTAATTTGTTTAGATGCTCCTATGCAATATCCAAGGGAGATTCTGGGATTTTCCTGCCTTATCCTTATAAACCTCAATTTGGGTACTTCCAGGAGACTGTGCATGTTTCTTCATTCCCATTTCTATGGGGGAATAATGCTCACTGTACATGAAGAGGAGGCTGAATACTTCATAACCTTAGGTAATATAAACCATGGCTAGAGAGGCAGCCAAAATTATGGCACAAAACTGCCTACAGCTAACAAGCCCATGAAAGACTATGGTTTGTCTTGTTGCTAAGACATTGCCTTGAGAGGAGATGATGAAACAACAACCTGGTGAGGGCTGGTAGCAACTACCACTGACAAGAGTTCCTGCCACAGCAAGCTCCAGGGTACCATCTCCAACAGAGACCAACTTTAGTTCCTGACCATCATCACTGATGGAAGCAGACTTAATGGGGCTACCTGACGATAGCCTGGTTAGAAACGTTTACAGGTGGTACTGTAAATTCCAAAACTCTTCATGGGGCTGAATTTAAATTCTGGACTAGGAAGCATTCTCTCTGTGTCAATCAAATTGTCCCTAATGTCAATGAGAAAAGAAGGTTGACATTTAGTAGCCCTCCAGCAAAAGACAGAAATTATGATGGAAAGTGCATGAGCCTTGCTGTGTGGTTGAGGTGGATTTGCATCCATGCTCTGCTACATTTGTCACCTGGCATATCCCCAGTGGTGGTCACCTTAGTTTCCTTGTCACTTAAAAATAATCATATAGTGCAACAGAAAAGGTGCAATGAGATAGTTTAATACATGCACTATAACAAAGCATATTGAAGGTACTAAAAATACAAAATGCAGTGTGGTCTTTCTTACCTTGACCCCCAAGTGAAGTAAAAAGTGATTAAAGTCCAAGTGGTTCCACTAGCTGGGTTCCTCAGTTATAGCTTGCCTTTTATATTTCAACAGAAGAAACCTAGGAGGATGCAGATTAGGAAAATTGTTGGAGAAAAAACTAGAGGTCAGTCTGTACCTGCAAGAGCCAGCAACACATCATATAAAGATGGACCTGCAACTGATCTTGGCAATTTCATAAGTTTTAGAGACCAACATTCTCATTCCATATATTCCCCGTGATGACTCTAGAACATGCTATCATTACAATGTCATGGGAGAATGGTAATTACAAAAGATTTTTGTTTCAGAAAAAAAAAGGTTTTCAATGTAAGTTTCCTTCACTCTATGCATAGAAACATCTGGCCACATTTCTTCCCACAATCTTCTTGCTTGACTAATTCCTTCTTTCCCTAGTTCTATGTGTTATAGCAACATGTCTTGGGGCATCACTTTGCAATTCAAAATCTGAGCCTTCTTGATTTGATGTGCCAGATGGCTGAGAAGAAAATAGACTGTAAGTGATTGCTGTGGCTTTGGGAGGTCTGCTTCCTTCAGAAGGCTATAGAGTGCCAGTCTGCTGGATTCTGGGCCTCATGTTTTTCTGATATTAGGTACATATCATGTGATGGATTCAAGTGGTTCATCCTCATGCATATCCCATGATCAGTTAAGACAGGGCTCAAAGTTGACAGGCACTTCTGGGACTGACAGTTCAGAAGTATCTGAGGTCTATACTGCTCTTTCTACTTAACTTACTCACTTATTTAGTGAATGTATCATTCTGCCTATAAATAAGATACACACACACACACACACACACACACACACACACACACACACATATATATATATATATATATGTACATACATATGCTTGAGTATCCCCTGGTATTTTATTTTGACTTTGAAATAAAAATTACGTTTTAATTACAAAATATAGCCAATTCTTCTAGAATTGGATGCTGAACTGCCTAGAGTGATGCTACACTATAGAAGGAACATGGTTACAATGTGTCCAGACACACTGCTACATCTCAGATTACTAGGAAATTCAACAGTGACCAAGAAGGAAAGGACACAGGCATTCAAAAGTTGATCAAATCTTGAAAGATGGGATATAAATGACAATAAAAAGGGCTGTGGAGTTATAAGCCTAGGCAAATATTAATCCACAGCAAAAAGTATAAACCCTGAATCCTCTTGGACAGCACTCAGAGGGGCCTTTGCTACAGTAAGCAGAAAGCAGATTTGCCTGAAAACCAGATCCAGGATCTGATTGTGAGAATCAAATTGAAAAGAAGGCTTCATTTGGGGATGAATCATCAAGGATTGGGCCTTGATGGTTAAGAGCATTTGTAGTTCTTGCAAAGGAATTTGAATCCTAGAATTGACATGGTGTCCCATAACAATCTATAAGTCTGGCTACAGGGGCTCTTCTGCCCTCTTCTGCCCTCTATGAGCCCTGGTTATAAATGTGGTCTACATATATACATGCAGGCAAAACAGACACAGAAAATGAAATAAATGAAATAAATAAATATTTAAAAAACTTTACTTTGATGCTCCATGAAATCTCATATACTTTTCTTTTTCCTTGTTTTGTGTGTGTGTGTGTGTGTGTGTGTGTGTGTGTGTGTGTGTAATCATGTTGCTAGTCGCTCTTTCACCATATTCTTTGTGACAGGGTCTCTCAACCAAACCCAGAACCTAATGATACATCTAGTCTTTCTAACCAGCTTGCTCCTGTCCCTGCCTTTTGAAACTGGAATTATAGGCAATATACAACATACACATGACATTCAGAAGAGGGGGGGATTTGAACTCAGGTCCTCCTGCATAACTGATAAATAAATTATTTTATCTCCCAAGCCAGTTCTTTCTTTTCATTTTTTTGGGGGGGTTTGGTTTTGTTTTTTTGTTTGTTTTGGTTTTGGATTGTTTGAGACAGGGCTTCTCTATGTAATAGCCTTGGCTGTCCTGGAACTCACTCTGTAGACCAGGCTGGCCTCAAACTCACAGAGATCTGCCTGCTTCTGACTCCTGAGTGCTAGGATTAAAGACTTTCACGATGGATAGAAGCTCTGCCAGTCCCCAAACAAGATCATATTCACTTGTTTACAGCTGCCTCCATACACATAAGATATTTCTATGACAACGGAGTTTATTTAGTGGTTCTTTTTCTTTTTTTCAGATTTTTTTATTTGAATTAGAAACAAGATTGTTTTACATGGCAATCCCAGTTCCCTTATCCCTCCCATCCTCCCCTACAACCCCCCCCAACTAAAACCTTATCTATCACATATCCTTTCTGCTCCCCCTGGATGGTGAGGCCTTCCATAGGGTGTCATCAAAGTCTATCATAGCCTTTGGTATAGGGCCTAGGCCCACCCCATGTGTCTTGGCTCAGGGAGTATTCCTCTGTGTGGAATGGGCTCCCAAAGTCCACACCTATTCTAGGGATAAGTACTGACCTGTAGATTTCCAAGGTTTCCTCACTGAAATCAATGTTCCTGTGGTCTGGATCAGTCCCATGCTGCTATCCCAGCTGTCAGTCTGGGGAGCAAGAGTTCCCTGATATTCAGGTCAGTTGTTTCCGTGGGTTTCACGGTTTGGACCTGAAACCTTTTGGTTTGGACCCCTTTGCTCTTCACTCAGAGGAGTAGCTGGCAGTTTTCCATGCCTCAGGCTATCTTTTTATGTCTACTGTCAAAGCCCCTGAGATGATACTTCTGCTTACTTTAAGGACTAAAACATTCTGTTGGTGGAAGAAGGAAGCATCTACATGCCAGATACTTTCACAAAGTTCTTTGGCATGACAAATGTCACACAGATAAAAGAACACATCTGGAAGAAATGGTAGCATCCATGTATAGGCTCCTTTGGAGCATTTCAAATCAGTGGTGGTGCACGCCTTTGATCCCAGCACTCGAGAGGCAGAGGCAGGCTGATCTCTGTGAGTTTGAGACCAGCCTGGTTTACAAGCGCTAGTTCTAGGACAGCCTCCAAAGCCACAGCGAAACCCTGTCTCAAACAACAACAACAACAACAACAACAAGAGCATTTCAAATCTGAGGAAGCTACAGTAGAAAAAAATTCCCAGTGATCTGTTTGTAATGCAGACCATTTGCTAGCCCCCTCTACCCTGAGCCACACTGAGGGACCCACACAGCACTTGGTGGGCCCAGAAACAAGCAAACTTAGGTCCCTTTTAGCTCATGTTTTTGTTTTTTTGTTTTTACTTAGAATCCCAGGGTAAGAATTGTCCCCACTTGCTTTTTCAGTGTAGGAAACACTCAATTTAAAAAAAGGGTGAAATAGATTCAGGTCAGAGTTTGTTCTCAAAACTGGAATACAAAAACAGGTTTACTTAAGACTCATCCGAGCCTGGTGGAGCACACAGTTTGACAGAGAAATCAGAGAAGCTTAAAAAAATGAGGCTAATAAAACATATGATAAGCAAGGTATCCTTGGGACTCTAATAATGAAGAAGATTAATTGTTAAATGGAATTGGACAGGAGTCACAAGAAAGGAGGCATTCCTCAAGACCTGCTATTTGGAGGAGCTCAGGGATAATGAGGAGAGAAGAGGGAATTCTTGGAAGCATTCTTGAAGGCTCAAGGATTGGAAGTTCTGAGCATCACCACAGAATCCCATATAGTTTGGTTTGAATGAAGCATGAGAACGCCAAAAAGAAAGGTGATAAATTAGGTCTGGAAAAGCAGGTTGAAGCTGGGTTGTAAGAAGCATCATAAATCAAGCAAAGGGGTTTGGATTTCATTTTTCTCTACTGGAAATTCAATTTGCAAAGAACTAGATTTCCTTTAGTAGTGGGTATCCCAAAGGCTATTATTTCTGAGCATATTGGTCCTATAGGATGCTCATAGGTGGTATTCTGTAACTTTGTTGCAGTGAGAAGGATAATTCCCAGGAATAGATAACATCTACCATGATGATGGGAACGAGAATTTACAGAGTTCCCTGGAATTTGCACAGTTGATACATCTGAGTAAGTCCAAACAACCTCACCTGCACACTATTCCCAAGTTTTATGCCTCCTGAAAAGGAACCTGCTCCTTTGTTCTTTAGCCATATGAGATTGGATGGGCAAAGAAGTGGATCAGGAAATTGTTAGCTGATGGGCATGGAGGAATGGCTCGAACATAAAGTGTCCACTGCACAGGCATAAGGACCTGAGTTTGGACCCCCCAGTATCTGCATAAAATGTTGAGTGTACTGGTCTATGCCTGCTCACCACAGCACTGTGGTACTGGGGACAGGTGGATTAGCCCTAATGCTAGCCCTGCAGTTTATTGGTCTATCACCCTAGCTAAATCAGTGAGCTCTAAGCTCAGTAAGAGTCTATCTTGAAAACTAACTCGAAGAGAGATAGAAGACAACCTGTGGTGAACTCTGACCTCCACATGAACTAACACCCCCTACACACATGTGCATACATATGCAAACAAGTATATAAGTGTTTGATACAATATTTATCAATATTTATGTGGCTTCATCTGGATGACCTGCATGAACTAACACCCCCTACACACATGTGCATACATATGCAAACAAGTATTTGATACAATATTTATCAATATTTATGTGGCTTCATCTGGATGACCTATTATCTTCATCTGATAGGATATGGGTGCCATAATTGAGTATATGTCCCTTTTCACTATAAATTTTGGAACTTACTCCCCAAAAGAGAATTTATAAGGCATGCAATTTGTTGGTAATGATGAATCCAAGATTTTGTTTGCCTTCCTAAGATTCGGATCCTTTCACAGGGGAAAACCACTGAGATAAAGAGAGCATGAGCTAAAGATATGAAGGTGCATTGCTTCTCACAAGGCCTGGAATACACTACTTAGCAACTAAGGCTCCGTAGCTGTTAGGCCAGTTTCTATCAACCACACCCACTTCATTACAGTCCCTATGTTGACAGAAGTGGAAAGGAGGCATATCTGACTCTCTTAAATCCTCTTATCATGGTCTTAAGTTCCATTAAAGTACACACATGCTTAATTGGACAAGTATTGGTTGAGTAATTTCCAACTGCCAAGGCTCTGAACTTTATGCTATGAAAAAT